GTATTTTTTACTACCAGTTCACCCGAACCAGTAGTTTTTTTCACTACCGGTTCGTTTGAACCGGAACGAACTGGTAGCATTTCACCCCTGGTTAAATTATATTGAAGATTAAAGCATACATCTAAATACTGAATCTTGAAAATTTAATATTCCAGGATTTGTAATGAAAGGAGCTGAAAGGTTTGGTTTAGTGTAAAATCTAACAAATTCATCATGTCTTGGTTTGCCACCAATAAATGTCACCTAAACATATTTCTAAATTACTTGGCTATGCCAAATGTTTTTGATGTCCTGCATTAGAAAAATACTAAAGCAACTTGGACTAAAACAACCTGATACAGTTAATGCTTCAATAATATTTTTGGGTTATAGGTCAGGTACATTTTCACAGATTAATCATATGCAAACATTCTTAGAGATGTGAAAGAATGAAGTTAAGCAGGGTGTCGTTAAACAGTTTTTGAATTGATTTTCCTGAAAAGTGTAAAACTTCAATCCTATACCCATTTGCCTGCTGAGTTTGGGACTTCTGCGTGGATACCTTCATGGCTATAATGTAAAGCATTTAAGGTAGCAACCCCTAACCTTTCCAGCTTGGTAGACAGGTGGTGGGGCGAGAGGATGGTTCAGTGTGAGCAGTGGCACACACAAGTCAATTTGCATGAGTGGTGCTCGCGAGTGCCCGCCACTCACACAAATGGAGCCGTGCACTCGCCTACTGCTAGCACAGCACACCAACTTGTAACCTGGGAATTGGAGACACTTGATTTAAGGTATGCAGAAAAAGTTTCTCAAACTTTTCTTTGAAACTACCTAAAAGGTGACTTACACGTTACGTTATATATTCTGCACTTGATGGAAACAAAACATAATATATTCATTCCATCAACTCACCATGATGTTAATGAAAATGACACCCTGCTTTGTTCTGTTTCTTTAAATAAAACAGAGTTGAAGGGAGTTAAGATGTCACCCAAGTTTAATCCTCTGCATACAACAGGATTCACTACATCATCACCAATAGATGATACATTTCAAAGCTCCCAGAGAAGGGGAAGAAATCACTCTTGTGTGGTAACCTACTCATCTAGTTTTCAAAGAGCTTTTTTAAGAATATGTAGAGATCGGACTCAAGAGACTTACGTTTGGGAGTGGAAGAAGTGGATAGATTATGTGCAGAATAAATATCAAACCAAGAAATATCAGATAGCTTTTAGCTGAATGTATTATGCAGGGATAGACTAACTGAATCTTATGAAGATATAAACAATACACGGGGTGGGGTGGTTTAAGTTTCATAAAATGATTTTGATTTTATTTTGGGAAGTCTTGGGAGGGGAGGGTTTGGGGGGGAAACGAGAGAAAATATTTATAAAACTTTTTAAATTAAAAAAAATATGTAGTTAGATGTTACCTTATTTAAATAGGACACTCATGGTTTTGAAATATTAAGCAAGCTGAATTCAGGTTCAAAAGATAGGAGACACTAAAGAATAGGTAGCTCCACCAATCCCTTTTGCACAATTCAGGTGCTTCTTAGGTCATGTTTGTGTCTAGATATATATTTTGGAGAAATCCTCACCCATCAATATTAGATTTTTTAGACTAAGTTAATTTGGGGTAATGAAAGGTAAAATAATATAACAAGGCTTCAGTGCCTGTCATTCACTATCAAAGCTCACAGAATATGCAGTCCTATAACAAATTTCCACAGTACTTTAATGAATATTGACAGTTTTATTTATAGGGCTTTATTGCAAAGATTAATTGCTATAAAGTATCTGTCAATTGTGGATAGAAACATAAAAATCGATGCTTGTGATGGCTTTGTTCATGTTTGGAAGAATGTGAACTAAACAAACTGCATTTGAATTCTCATAATGGCAGGTTATTTTGGTCTATCACTGAGTGATCAAAGAACTACATTTGTGTATGTGTGCATAAGGAGGTTTAAAAAGGGAAAGGAAAGATACACTGCAAAGTGAACTTGTCCTCGTTCCCAGAACCATTGCCAAAAGAAACTGCAAACTCACAGTCAGCTGATACATTTTTAGACTTCATGGGAACTACCAGAGATGTGTGAGCAATATATAAAAAGCATCACTTGCAACTTTTTTTCCCATTAAAATGATTATAATTGTTTTGAAATAACAATTATAAAATGGGCAAAATGTTGCCACTTCATTGGATCATTAACAGTTACTGTGATTACAGTAGCATAGTCTTAATACAGACAAAATTCTTGATGGCATTGTGGGAAGTCTGTTTGCTGCCTAAGGTTTTAATTGCTCTTCTGGGAACAGCATAGAACCCAAGAGTCTGCTACATAGTATTCACTTGACCTTACCATTTTTATAAAAACCTCAAGGCATGAAATCAAGAATCTACATAAAAAATTGAATTCTTGAGCCATGGAATTTTATACTCGGTATGCCTTCATTTGGCTCAATCTATGAAACAAAAATACTCTGACGTCCAGTTCTATCTTGACTATGTTTTTCTTAGCCTGTATTTTGTCAAATCCTTCGCTTTAATTGCATATTAAAAGTTTTTCTTTACGTAGGAGTGGTGGGTTGAATCCAATGCCTAGTTGCTTTCATACTTTACAAAGGTAGTTGTCATGGAAGTTTTTCAGAACTGGTACAATTTCATTTTCACTTAGCAGGTTTAAATAATTGAGGTTTGATTTGCCCATTACAGTATTCTCTATATTTTTTTTATCATTGGCCAATATATGCCATAAACTTTCTAATTATTTTTCACTTAACATAATTTTAATTTGAAGGTTCATTTCATTACATATTTCATCTGTAGTCAATGTGTCTGCAGATGATAATTCTGCAGAGTATTTTACAGTGGAAAATTAAAATGCTAGGCTGAACTTGTTCATGTTCTATGTGTCAAGTTCTCTAACCTTTCTAATTCATACAGAGTGCCCTGTGCCTCTATGGCTGAAGTAATTCCTATTAGAAAACCCAAACCATTGCCAATGTGGATTCTTGAATAGTTCAGGTGCAAATGATTAATATAGACATTCATATCCTGTCATTTCTAATGGAAAACTATCTGCAGTATCAAAATAATCTCTGGACATCATCTGTCCCAAAGCAGCTGCTACCTGGTTTGGTTGCAGCTTCTTCCTTAGTCTCCAGAAATAATAGCTGCTGAAAGATGAGATCGAACAAGACCTTACATTAAGTCTTCAGGAATAATGAAAATCAAAGATTTGCTGAGAGATGGGACAAGTGGGATCTCTTCCCTTCATTTTCAGTAGTAGCTTCTCATAAGACATTGCTTTATGAAGAGAAAGGCGAGCATGTGGGATTGCTCTGGACTACATTTGCTCTGGACTATATAGCCTTTACCAAAAAATAACACCACTTACTCTGTTTTTTTAAACATGCATTAAGGCATGGGTGTCAAACTCAGGTTGATGTCACGTGATGTACTGTGATGTTTTTTGCCTTTGCGGAGGTGGGGTGGGTGTGGCTTGGCCTGTGTGTGACGCATCCAACCCGCGGGCCGCCAGTTTGACACTAAGGGAAATGACAAAGCTACATGAACTTCTAAATTCATGTTTGGAAACAGTGAACTTGAAACAATAGCTATTGACTGTCTTAAATTGTACTGGGATAATGAAATTATTAAATGCCGAGATTGAGTGGAACACAAGTCCAGGTGAATGCATGGACACGATTGTCAGTTTTCTTCATGAAGAAAATTCCCAAATCTTTTCTTCTACAATGTTTTATCAATTTCTTAAGAATAGGTTATAGCTCTGGGATTCTCTACCGGTCTCACATCGAAATACTACCCTGGTCTGTCTCTGCTTTTTCAAAATCAGCCAAGGTCAATTTGGTGCTACAAGTCTGCTGTGGCATACCATTCATTGTACACAAGTGTATAAATTGTTAGGGGAGTTTTGTCATGTGGGTTTAAGATAAAGGCAGGGATGAACAAGGATGTCTAATTTAGATGTTTAATTAAAAAATATTTATAAATTTTAGATATGAATTTTGTACCTTATCTCAGTAAATTTAGAAGACACTTGTTCGATGTAAGTAATATTAAGATAGACTGGCAATCTTTTGATGGATGTTCCCATAAACAGTTGGGCTTGCAGGATCCACAGTGGAAACAATGATATTGCTATGAATTTGGGGGTTCTTAGTGGGCTTTGGCAATTAAAAAAAAATATTTTAAGCCTATTTTAGGACAGGGAATAGTTGTTGAAATTTTCCTGTTTCAATATTGAAAGAAAGCACACTTTTTCAGTAATGTTCAGCAGGAGTTCAAAAAAATATGCAGAAACTTTAGATTGCCTACCTTGGAGAAGCATAAAGTATCAACAATCTTTCTGTCCCAGGCTGATGTTACATTGGACTGGGGAAAAGCGGGGATTCAGCTCTTCTGTTTACTAATGTAGTCTATGCCAGACTAGGGGCACTTTACTGAGGCTTTGTACTGCAGGCTGTTGAGGGACAGTGAGCTTTTCTGAAATAATCCATAAAATCATCCACATTTCCTGCAGGAGGTGATCCTGGTATCCAAGTCTGTGCCAGTTTAGAATAGGTATGTTATTGGGTTTAAAATATCTGCGTATAATGAGCTAACATGTTAAAGAAGGAGCTTTGCAGAATTTTTCTGTCCATAAGGTTATTTTTCCTATGAGCTAAATAAAATATTTTTGATTCTAGCCAAAATTGCACCAGCTAGAATTCACCCACTCTTATGTGTAACACTAATGTTTCTGGCATGTCTTAGCTCTGCGTCCTTACAATCTTTCTGAAAATCCATGCTCAAAACCCAAGTAAGGCACTAAGGAAGACCTTTGCTCTATTAGAATCCTATTCACACGGCTGCTATCTGACACTAGACATGAAAGAGTTAATGAAGGGGCTTATTTTCATGGGAAGGCGAGAGAGGCAAAAAGAGAAGTGTCCTGCATTCCCAAAAATGCGCCCTGCCAAAAGCAGCCGTTTATATCATGGGTCGTTGCCATGTTCCCACACATTTTGCTCCTAATTAACGTCCTGCTGGACAGCTGAGCTGTTTCAAACAGGAAGCTGTTTATAGATAACGCTCGCAAACGTTGGGCCTGATTCGCTGAATGGTCGAAGAGCAGGAGTTGAGCCCGCTTCAAATTAAAACCTATCGGACTTTTGTAAATAGTAGCAATGAGGTCCATCTGTGGTGCAGTGCCCTTTCAGTCAGCAGCTCAGCTACAGCGCCTCTTCTCTCAGCAATTCTAAGGTAGGTGATGCTAAGATGATTGTGCCAGCCAAAACCCTGGTTTAAAAGAGAGTAGGCTATGAAACGTTTTTTTTTTTTTTTCATGGAAGCTGGATAAAGAGGAGACTACTGACTTTCAGATCAGGGCTGAGTTGGGGTCAGTCTGGAATTGTTGCAATGTAGGTTATCTAATGTCATAGACCTACGGACTGGTTCATGTCTTTACATTTAAAAAATTATTAAACATCTGAAATTGATTTATATAGTGTTCAGGATTGCATAGAAGTATATATTTTATTTTATGCTGTACTATTATAAATGAGTTGTTTCTTGGTACAGAGTGAGCAGAAAGCGTAAGGAAAACAGGAAGGTTGGGTTTATTTGTGAGGAGCTATTTAAGAGATAGATAAAATGCTACAAAAGGGCAAAGCATAATCTTCACAATTTGTACAATATATGGAATTGAAAAGTTCAGTTCTGGTTCTTCCCTCTCATGTGTCTCCACATTGCTAAGGAGTATAGAATATGGACTATAAAGTGTTGGTTGAAGAATATGGAATATAGTAGTTCAAATTTAATTTTTCCTCACAAGCAGCTGCTAGAGATCTGGAGCATCCTTCCCTAAACCAGTCCTCTTCAAGTAGGCAAACCATAAAATTATCACTTCCAACTAGGCTATAATTTATAGTCTCTAACTTTGAACTCTGATCTCAAGTTTCTGACTGTACTTTGTGATCACTCAGGATTGAATGTGAGATACCCTGTGTTTTCTAACAAGCAGGTTTATTGTACTATATTACTATTGCTAACCAATTTTTGGAATAGATCCCCCTGCTTTGGAAAAAATGTGAACCAATATTTTGGTAGAGTTCGCTAAAATTAAGTGCTATTTCTAAATAAGTCTATTTCAGGAAAAGGAATAAAACAGGAAGGCTAAATCTAAAAAATGAAAATAGAAGGTGAAAGAGCTTTGAAATAATGAAAAATGCAAATAGATGGGTTGGCAAAGTAGGAAAACGTTATGGAGATGAAGAAAAGAAAATAAGAAAACAGATGATAACAGAAAAAGGTGAATTTAAAATATTGCAACTGTTTCTGTAGGCATTGAAAATTGCCTGTTTTCCCTCTATTTTCCCTCTAAGGCAAACAAATTTGCACAATAAATTATGTATTTCCCACCTCCAGAACCTTTTTCAGTCCACAAAAGAACAAATAGTATGGAGAGGAATAAGCTACAGAGAAAATAGAATTCTTTGTTTCTTTCCATACTCTCTTTCTTCCATCCTCCTACAGATTTATTTATTAAATTTATTATTAAATAAATTTATTAAAGCAAAATTGCAATAATTACATTAAACATTTCAAGACACTATCCAAAACACAGGTAGATTCTGATTTCTTGATTATATGGAACTGGATGTCTACAAACATCTGTTTGTACTGGAGACTTGATGAATAAGTCAGTTCTGATAGGCACAACCATGTATTTTCACAACCCTCCTAATATGTTGCATAGAGTATGATGGCTGATTCAATATATATAAAAGGCTGATGTCAGGAAAGGCCAAGCTACTCCGAAAGTCTATTTCAGTTGATAAAATTCACTAACCTGAGAAAAGAATGAAGATATTAAGCAGTAGCTGATTAAAAAAAAACAATATTCAAAAAGAAAGTCATTTCTTATCTTGTCAGCTGCTGGTTTATTTTATTTTTAGTATCAAAGGCTGTTGGGCTATTGCATCATAAAAGTGAACTTGCTGAATCCATATAGTGTGTGATTCACAACAGCTTAATCCATGCTGATCCATATTTAGCATTGCTTTCTTGGTTTGCAAGGTAGACATTCAATCATAAATGAATGATATGCACTCAGTGATACATTAATTACAAGGTTCAGCTAATGTACTACTGGTAGCTAGACTAAAATGTGATTAGTTTGTATCTCACCACATTGTACAAATGAAGTTATTATTGGAATGATATATTTATACCGTTATGTGTACCCTAAACCATACATAAAGTATTTGAGCAGAAATTAAGATCAGTAATAGATCAAATTTTAGCTTTGATACTAGTTTAGCAGTGCCAGAATGTAGATATTACATCATTTAGAGTTTTACTGAGAAGAAATTGTATTGTCCACAAGTTTTATATGCCATCCTTGAAAATCCCAAACAAATCTCTTGATGCCTTATTCCTAGAAGATAGTTCAGTAATATCACAAAATTACAAGTGTGTTATACAATTTGAGAACAGAGGACAGAGAGAGTTCTTGCCTTTTTTCCCAGTGCATACAATTTTCGTATCTTTCTGGAATGCTATGTGAATTGATCAAGATAGGTAGAAATAACTGAAAACTGAGGTACTGTATGCGTTGCCATTTTTTCTTGCACAACTTTAGACACAGGTGCTTTTGCTTCATTCAAAAACATTCTTTATTCTTTCTCTTAGTTGACTAAAAATTGCAGGAAAAGGCAATTTTATACATTTTCCCATCATATCATTTGGACTTGGGATTTTTCCCAAAGATTCTTGTTTTCCCTTCAATTGAGTTTTTTTCAGCAGTGTGGAAATGTGTTCATGACTTCCCCAGGGAACCTTTATGTAGATGACCCTCATCATGCACTAAATTAGCTTTTTCTTTCCAATCTTTTTTTGTGAGTGTGTATGAAGGACCATTTCTCTTTTTCTGGGGATTTTGAACAAGTATACCAAGCCAAACTCTTTTCTGTTGATTTAAATATGGATTATGAGATCTAAGGGAAAATATATTTGTGTTGCAAAGACTCTCACTCTGCTGAAACCTGAGTGTTCCTTCCCAATAAAACATATTACCAAAAAAAATTGCAACAAATTTTGCAACTTAGCAAGCTATCATATATTAAATATATCTTTTAATATGCTGTAAAGGTTATTGTGTCCTTAGAAGATAGTGAACATATTAGAACTGTCCAAAGTATTTAGAATCCCTGTTAATGGTTTATTCATTTTTCCTCTCTTTAGGAGTAAGGGACAAGCTCATTATGAAGAGTGATCTGGTTTTCTTTGTCTCTGTAATTAGCCTTGCATTCCTGTCTCTGCCAAGATCTGGATATGCTCAGCATATTGCAGAGGAATCCTGCTCTGTTCAGATTCTGGTTCCAGGCCTCAAAGGTAATATGCATATCTCTTCCCATAAATAGGTCAGACATTCCTTCTTCATTTTTATTGTTTTGATGGCATTCTAGTAATTATTAGCAGGCTTGCATTCTCTTAGTGAAATAGGCTAACTTTTCTCTTAAGCTTTTCCTAGTCTGGGACAATTGGCCTATAATAATGAAATGATAATTTCAGCTGCCGCTTAAGCAAACAACCAGAGGGCTTTGGATGGTCATAAACAATCCTTCCACAGAATTCCCAATAAAAACCACACAAATCTTATTTACTATACTGTATATCTTTCTAATTTTCTTGGATACTGGCCCTGGAGATATTTTCTGCTTTTCTTTTAGTTCCTCATTTATAAAATTTCGTTTTCTTGGAACATACCGATACCTGCACACCAACAAAAAACTAACAAATATTTTATAAGAGAATGGGTCTAATATGCATAAACAGAATGTAGAATTTGGAGGACAGTAACAGGCCTTATTTCTCTTTTTTCTTATGTCCTTATTTTATAAACATTAACTGGTTTGTTTCCATTCTTGACCCATTATGTGACTGCATTACTTGATAATTTATTATCATGTTTCAGAGGGGCAAGGTTAGACAGAGTGGATATTTTGGAAATGATATGCTTAATTATTAGTGATTTACTCTTGAGTTCTCTACTTTAACCATATTCTATGTTTGAATTGCCCAAACTCTGAAAAATATCACTAATTTATTTGGATTACCTTAGTAGCTTGATCAATGATTTGATATGTAGTCATCAACAGGGCTGAATTCTTTTATCATGAAAATAAGAATCGCCACCACTGTAAGCAAATATTAATTTAATTGCAATGAAATTGGGAGGCCTTATGATACAAAATAAAAATGAAGGACAACATGACACCCTCATACATTTAATGGTCAATTCTGGGAGAAGTAGAAACTCTTTGGGAATAAAGCTTTTTATTCTTGTTCTTTTTACCAAAGATCTTAGAGAAAACTGTTATGTGTGGTGTACAACTCTGATTTTGAGATAATTGTGGAAATATTAAAGGGACTACTGGAATTAGTAAAATCATCAGCTCTCTTATCAATATAAAATATAGCTGAATGACTGCTACAACAGTTGCCCCAAGTTTGTGTTAGCAGCCTCTGTTGATTTTTCTTTTCACAGTATTCCATTAATGTAGATTTTGGGGTGGGTGGGTGGGTGTGATTCGTATTTTCTTTTGATGATGTCAGGATGTACTCTTTGTATTCTTGTTAACTTTTTGGTGAATTTATTCTCCATTATACTGCTCTATTACTTTATTTGTTCAATGAATCAGATGAAATAAATTAATTTTCTGAAGAAACTCATGCCACAATGAAACTTTGTTTAAAGCACTGTGGTGCCTCTTAGTGCTTCAAAGTCATCTTCATGAATTCATCCTGAAAGATGGAATCATAGTTGGGTCATTTTTGCTAGAAATAGCTCCCTGTCTCCAAAATGTATCCTTGAATTGAATCCAAGCAGTAATTATAATACATATCCAAAACATTCCAAGTCAAAATGGCCATGCCTGTTTCTTGTATTTGTTATTTTAGAGTTATTCATGCAATTAAAAAGTACCAGCAATTTTTTTGTATTCATGAAAAAAAAACCCTGATTGACCAAGAGTTTATTTAAAGTAACTCAAATGACCGCTGCTTGTTCTATGCTTGAGAAGGGGGATGGGATGCTTGCTTCTGATTTAAATATTTCATTTAAATCAGAGTAAGAAAAGTGCTGTGGATTTCCTATGGATACTGTACTTATTTTTTAAAAGTATCCTCTATATCAGATTTTTGTAATTTGTATTATGTAGTAATTATGTCTACCATGGTCTCCAATTCAACTAATTCAGGAGACCAAAAATATTCTGCTCAAACTGTTTCGACTTTTTATCTGCAGAACACAGCCAACTTGAAACATTCTAATGGAACAATTTGTTCCATTAGGTGATTCTTTTGCTCTAAGTGTTAAACACAATATATTTTCTATTTCATATACATTTCTATTATTAAATCATTATAGATCTCTAATATACAATCTTTTTTGCTGATCTGCATTATCACTTCCTTTCTTATAAAGATGTTCTGCTCAAGTACCAGTTGGTCTAATAGTGAAGGTGCTGGCCTAGAAACCAGGAGATTGTGAGTTCTAGTCCTGCTGTAGGCATGAAAACCAGCTGGGTGACTTTGGGCCAGTCACTCTCTCTCAGCTCAAGCCACCTCCCAGGGTTTCTGGGAAAAATAGAAGGAAGATGTTCTCCAGCTTGAGTTATTAAAAAATACATTTTAAAAATAATCTGGGTATTTGTTCCACAATATTTGTGAACCAGGGGCCAAGCAATTATGCAGAAGAAAAAAGCCTTTAAACATGAAGAATTAAGGCTGAGGAAGTTGCATAGCGTGAGTGATAGTTTTATGGGAAAATAGAGAAAGCATTGGTATGATTTGCAAATAAACTAAGTTAGGATTTAGCGTCCGAACTTTCTCATACAGATATTGTAATATTACAATAACCTTACATCCTGAACTGAACAAGCAGTCTTTTAATATTGTGAGGAAGCTTGGAATATGGAAAATAGGAGGAAATGAAATGGAAATTGACTAATGGAACATAATTGCTTTCTTCAGTTGTAAAAGTGACTCTGGTTTATTTAACTCAATATATTTAACAAATCTTGACTAATGTATGGGTGCTAGTGTTACCTGTGTCTGTGTTGGGTGGCCATTTACATTTGTTTAATATGTAAATGAATAAAAAAATGAGTTCAGCCTATAAACCATATTATGCTTATTCATAATCTGAACCCAGCATATCTTGTTCCACAAAAGCTGGGTTAGAACAAGACATGAATGTAGCCATTGTTTTCTTCACTCCTTTCCGTTAGAGGGTTGTACTGTATGTATGATGGGAAAGCATGGACACATTTTTTAAAAAACCACCAATATTACTGAAGTCCCAATAGATACTAAGTGCTGGAAACATGGACAATAAATTAAAGAGACTGATTCTTCAAAAAAAAAGCTTAAAAATCTCATATCTTTCTATATCTCCAATATCTTTGTTTATTGCTGTGTCTGAATCCCTCTATTCAGTATCTCTATTTCACTCTCTTTAGAACTATACTTGTTTTCTAGAGTTCAATCTGTCTTTTTTTTAAATTTCTGCTTTCTATCTCTGACCCATTAAAGTCACTTTTTTTTCTTAATCTTTTCTGCTTTTTGTTCCTGGCGGAGCTTCTTCATTCTTTTCTTATTTTTCCAAATATTTGCTCCATCTGAGGGAAATGGCTCACAGAGTGTGCCATGCCAGTATGAGGGAAGGAAAGAAACATATCTTTCTCCCTAGCTTTCTCAGCTACTGTTTACTTTCCTGTTGCGTCTTCTTATGTGTGCTGCTAACTTTTAAGTTTCCCCTTTTACTTGGACTCCTGGGCTTTGGTTCTCTTTATTCAGCCTATGGCTGCAGAGCTCTCTGGCAACCATCCTGTCTTCCCTCTTTGTTGCCTCATCCCAATGCTGCTGTTTGATTGGCAGCTGGATTGCCCTGACAATGGGGGAGGGCCATGAAGGGAGGAGAAGGAAGGAGCACAGGTGCTTCTCACCTGCTCTAGCAGTCTGTCCTTGGACACCTTCCCAGATTGCTTCCTTGCCTTTCTGGAATGCCTCTTCCTCAGTGAAAAGTACTGATTTTTACACACCCCTATTGTCTTCATCTTTCTCAATGTCAAAGAAAGAATATGGGTCCTTATAGAAGAACAAAAATAGACATATTAAATGGGGTTTTTTTGTGTATGTTTGCTTAATAATGCAGTTTCATTATGCTATTTCTTATTGGTCCAATTTTTGCATCTTGACCCCTTCTTTGGAAATCACACTGGAAGTAGTGTATCTTCGTTTCCCTTTCGATCTGCAAAGTTGAAACTTTATGGTTAGAAAAACTGCACTGCTTTGCTCAGTCTGCCTGAACAATTGGCAGTGTTTTCCAAAAAAACAGCCTGCTAAAATCTGCCACACCAGGGCTAAGTATTTTGCATGATTCTTGAGTTCTAGCAATAATTGCTCTTTTATAAAGGAAACAGGAACACTGAGATATAAAACTAAAAAAATGAAAGCTCGAAGGAAAAAACAACCCCAAATTTGTTCATGCTTCAGCATAGTCTCTCTAATTAAAAGCTGTAGTTGTAATGGTGAAGATTGATGAAGAAATGCAGTGAAGCACAAAATGGCCAACCTACGAAGACTGCAGCTAATGTAAAATCTCTAAAAATTCATCAGTGTCTGAGCTAAACTGTCGGGGGGATATCTCCCTGGCTTAGATGTACACTAATGAGATATGAAGTCTTTTATCTGTTGGCTGAAATCCAATGTGTCCTTGATGTCTATGCAATCTGAGTCTTGGTACTGCAGACCAATCATATTTCTTCTAGGAGGTGTTAGGAATAATTTCTGAGAGGACTAAGAAGTTGAACCAAGGAGCCACATCATCTGAAATGACCATATGTCTGAGATGCTATTACCAAAATCTAGATAGCATGATAGATACTGCTGTTCCCGGCAATAAATGTATAGTGACGGGAAAGAGAGCAGCTGCACCCTACTATTCCTTCCTTGTTTTTAGCTACACTTCTACACTTGCTATTGCTGCCAGCTACCCTCAGTAAGGTGAAGAAGGCACTCACATTAACAGTGCTGAACTTTTTGCTAAAGGATCATTCATCCTTACCTCAAGACAATAACCTTGGGTAGACTCTGGTTACTTGCTAAAAGTGACCTTGACTACTGCACTCCATAGCAGTACATTCCTTATATTGTCACTCCTAAGGAAAAAATTAGATTTAATTAGTATATCTGAAGGTATTTGAAGGATCTTCTGCTGTTTTGTTGTGCAATGACTCCTTAATTTGTTCTATTCTGTATTATAGGTCAAGGAACCTGATAACATGTTTAAAGAAAAAATTAACAGAACAGGCACTGAGTAAATGCAGAGGATCTGATCAGTAATAATCAGCTGTTATTACTGTAATTGCAATAGACTTGCCTAGATGAGTGATATGCCTGATGGTCATCCTGTGATCATATAGTAGCGATATTGCTAACCCCTGAAAAAACATGTTTGGAAAGAGTGGCTTATTATCTGAAACAAAATAATAGCTACTAGTTCAATAATGGTGTACGTCATTGAAATATCTTCAGATATCGTATTTTCCAGCGTATAAGACGACTTTTTAACACATGAAAATCTTCTCAAAAGTCGGGGGTCGTCTTATACGCCAGGTGTCGTTCTCCTGTAACCAGGCAGACCAGCCCGAAAGGCTCTGACGAGCCTTAAATGCCTCTGGCGATCCAAGCTCTAACGATCCCAGCTTTGCCTGCTAATCAAGCAACTCAGCTGGGATCACCAGAGCCATGTAAAAGGAAAAAACTTTTTTTCTTTTACTTGGCTCTGGCGATCCAAGCTCTGACAATCCCAGCTGCATTGCCTGCTAATCAGGCAACGCAGCTGGGATAGCCAGAGCCATGTAAAAGAAAAAATGTTTTCCCCCTCCAGCTTGCTTACCTTAGCTGCTAGTCGCAACGCTTGCCTTGCTTCACTTGCCTGAATCCATTCCATCAGCAAGCCACTCCCTGCCTGCAATCAAGCAGGCAGGGAGTTGTGGACTTCAACTCCCAGAATTCCTCAGCCAGCAAAACAAAGCTGGCTGAGGAATTCTGGGAGTTGAAGTCTACAAGTCTTAAAGTTGCCAAGGTTGGAGACCCCTGTTCTATTGGGTAAGTTTTTTCCCCTTTGGGAGCTTTTAAAAAAATAGTTAATTGGAGTTTCTTTTAGTTGTTCTTTTTTAGACCTAGCCATTTAAAGTTTAGGAAGTTTTAAATTTAGTTTTCATATAAACATAAAATAAAATAATATTTGTGCAGCTTTCTGAGATTTAGTGTGTTTCTGTAGTGTTTCACTCTAACTACACAAACACACAAAATCTCACAAAGCTGTATGTGGAAATTTATGTGTGTAAAGTGTGAAAGTTGTTTTTTGGGGGGCTTTTTGTGGCTGTGTGAGGTTCCTGCTTGTTGCAGGGGCCATTTTGGGTCTAGCACAGCTGCTTTTACATTGTGGGTGAGCCAGTTGATGTTTTTTTATTTTTATTTGGTGTGCGTTGGAAGAGGGGTAGTCTTATACGGCGAGTATAGCCCAAACCCTATATTTTAACAGGAAAACTCGAGGGTCGTCTTATACGCCGGAAAATACGGTACTCTAACTAAATCTAATCTAGTCCTTAGAGGAGAAAATATAAGGAATGTTCTGGGTACGGAGTGCAATCAATAGCCAGGTCACTTTTAACAAATAATCAGGCTCTATCCAAGGTTATTGTCTGAAGTAAGGATGAATGAGTTCTTCACCGTAAAGTTCAACAGTTAATATAATTGCATCCTTCATATGAAAAACCTGGAAAATCACAAGGTAGCAGGAAAGAGGGACAGAGAACTTTGATTTCTTCTTGCCATCTAGTTTCTTCAGACCAAACTAAAAGCCAAACTACTTCCCCCTTCTATTTCTATAGTTATTTTAAATAACTATTATTTGAAATTTGTATATAACTTTCTCTTAGACTTGTTTCTTGAAATTCGTTATGTTCTCATTATCTATTTTGAAGTTCTGTAGCAAAACACCTATTTTTTCTGTTTTCCTCTTTTTAAAAAAAAAAAAACTTCTAAATGTAAACATTGATAGAGATGCTGAAGCAATGAGAACACTACATATAGAGACAGGACAAATAATATGAATGATGCTATCATTTTCATTACAAAAATTGAATTATGAACATGATACCACTGAATTTTGAATAATTTCTTTGGTTTTATCTTATGTTTTATTACATAATAGGGGAAAATGGAGAAAAGGGGGAAAAAGGTGCTCCAGGCCGTCCTGGACGAGTTGGGCCTCCAGGGGAAAAAGGTAAATCTTATTTTAAAAATGGATTAAACATTGGATTAATATTGCTTAATAATAAATGGAGAATATACTTTTTGTGTATATTTTCTTAATGCCACAGTTGCATATATAGGTTTGTATCTAATTAAACTCAATCTTAAGTTTTTGATTTATTAAAACTAGCATGCATGTGGGATGGTTTATTTGAGAATTACTGTATTTTGTGTTGATTGAGTTTTGTAGTGGAAAATACAAAATATTGAAATATTTAGATCTGTTCCTCCTCTTTTGGTGCCTAGAATTAGGAAAGTGTACTCAGCAATTTGGGTGTGTGTGGACAAGCTAACAGCAGCCCAAAATGACCCAGAGTTGCTGAGCAGACATCACTCTGATTGCAGCAGCAATCTCATTATTGTGAAAGATGCCAGATCCTGCCCCAAATAATAATTGTTTCTGGAGAAGAGGAAAAATTACTGCTTGAAAGAATTAAAGAGTTAAGAATCACACTGTCATCTGGAAAAGTTCTTTGTTGTTTTTTTTGTGTTTGATAAACTGCAATTCCATATTTACCCTTATCTACAAAGGGAGAATGTTCCATAGCTCAGATACTATAGCAAAAAAGGCATATTTTCTGGGCCTGGCCGGCATTCTTTAGGCAGTGGGATCCGAAACATGCCCATCGAGCCTAACCAGATTGGAAGGATCGAAAAGATTGGGATAAACATCTCTCAAGTAAAATTTTCCAAAATCAGCAGTTTGCAATTCTAATTTGTTGTCTCTAAAGCTTTAAGCTCTGAGGAAATTATACAAGCCAATAATAAAGATGGATTCATTTATCTGGAGCTTTTTTGTGTTTATAAACATATGCTGGTGTGCAGTATTTTCTTCTTTGAATTATCATTATTGTGTTAACTTTTTCTCTTTAGCGTGTATACTCCAAGCAAATATGATGCACTCTCCCTGTGGACCATGATAACTGGAAGTAATTCTTTCAACACACATTCTTCCTTTCCTTTGCTCTTCCACATTTTGTTCCTTTCAGCTTCAACTAGATTTAGCTTTAATTAAGACAGATATGATGTTAGAAGTTCATAAAAACAGAAGTCCTTTTAATTTTCCTTTGATTTTTTTTATATTATAGGAGAAGTGGGAGACAAAGGGCAGAAAGGTAGCATAGGGCGACATGGAAAAGTTGGTCCCATAGGCTCAAAAGGTATATTTTTCTTCATTCTGTATCAAGCCTTGAAAAATATAGTTTAATTTTCACTATATATGTGTGTGTGTGTGTGAGTGTGCGTGTGCGCCGTATTTCCCCCAAAATAAGCCATAGCTTGATTTTTATGCGTGCACCTAATATAAGCCCTACCCCCAATATAAGCCCTAGTTAAGCCCCCCCCCGGTTGCACAGGGTGGGGAGAGGGGCATAGGTAAAAATCAAACTGGGGGGGATGGGGGGAGCTCCCCCACATGCCCCGTACCCACTTACCTTTGGACAGTTGCAGCCAGGCCTCGCATACTCCAACACCTGCCACGCCTTGCCGGCCCACTTCTTCTGTGGCTGCTAGCCACCAGTGGCGCACGTCGTGCCTGGCGTCCGTTTCACTGTCAGAGGCTTCAGGAAAGGCCTCTGCAGCTGAGAAACAAGCTCCAGATTGACATGTGCACCTCCCGACTTTTGTTTCACTGTCAGAGGCAATGCCTGAGCTCATTTCTCAGCTACAAAGACCTTTCTTGAAGGCCTCTGATGGCGAAATGGAGGCCGGGGGCACCAGACACAAGCAGCGGCAAGCAGCCGCAGAAGAGGTGGGCTGGCAGTGGCCACACGGGCTCCAGCTCGGTGGGGCTGTTGGTGCTGCCACCGCGAGGTGAGACAGTAGAGACCTCCCCCCAAAATAAGACATAATGCCTCTTTTTGAGGCAAAAAAAAGACCGGGTCTTATTTTTTGGGAAACACAGTGTATGTGTGTCTGTGTATAAAAATTTTAAAAACTAACTTAAAAGTCACGTGTAAGGCTTAGAAATAAAAAAAATGTATGAATTTGAGTTTGTTGATATAGGTAAAAGAAAATTATAGATATTATTTCTTCCTAATTAACTGATTTATTAATCATGCTAACCAGTATATTTTAAATTAGTTTCAGGAAAAATTTAATATGTTGATTAAGGCTTATCAACATATCCTTCAGGACTTATTTTTATGATGAATTGTCTTTTTTCTTAGGACAAAAAGGAGATAATGGAGATATAGGTCCACCTGGTCCTAATGGAGATCCAGGTAAATTATATCAGAACCGGCTGACTATCAGAACAGAAAAGACCTGCTTAAACACAGTTAACAGAAAAAAAGTTATTATTCCTGTGGGTCTTCTCCATGGGGAAGCCTTGTAAAGAAGATGAGCACTTGAAGACAGAGTAGAACAATTAAAATTTGAATTTATATGACTTTCAGGACTGGTTGTTGGTGAACACAGAAGGAAGAGTATTATAGTAATGCACTTATATCTGGTTTATGGGATTTTTGTCAAAATTGGGTTGGGCTTCATGGAAAAAGAATGTTCCATTAAATAGGCCTTTAGACTGCTCTTATACTTTTTAGGTATTCCTTGTGAATGTGGCCAGCTACGAACAGCCATTGGTAAAATGGATAATCAAGTGACCCTGCTAACAACAGAGCTGAAGTTCATTAAAAAAGGTAGGAATGTTTATGGAAACATATTCCCCCTCCTAAATATAAGGAATTGCTTTCAGAAGAACCTGGCTTGCTTTTTAGTTGGTCAGCTGTGTCTGTCTTATATGGAATGCATTAAGTAAGTTTATAGAAATGCAAGTGGTCACTTTTCAGCACTGCCCTCCCCCGCAGCTGTTGCTGGTGTGCGTGAGACAGATAATAAGACATACCTGCTGGTGAAAGAACAGAAGCAGTATGTGGACGCCCAACTCTACTGCCAAGGAAGAGGAGGGACACTGAGCATGCCCAAGGATGAAGCCACCAATAATCTCATTGCTTCTTACATCAATCAAGCTGGCCTCAGCCGAGTTTTCATTGGCATTAATGACCTTGAGAAAGAAGGCAGCTTTGTCTACTCTGACCGATCCCCTATGCAGACCTTCAACAAGTGGAGCAGCGGTGAACCAAATAATGCTTATGATGAGGAGGACTGTGTAGAAATGATCACTTCTGGGGGCTGGAATGATGTGGCATGTCACATTACAATGAATTTTGTATGTGAATTTGACAAAGAAAATGTTTAATAAAGTTTCCCCCTGCCAGGCTCTCTATATGCATTTCTTTGAGGGAGGGTGAATAATTTGGGCAGTCCAACTATTGTAATCTGTACTCCAATTTCTGGATTGATTTTATACGGAAGTTGGTTTCTTGTTTATGAGATCCTTTCTATCACTGCGTAAAACTATCCCAAGATAGTTTTATCCTCATCCATCCTTTTATTTACATTTTTTCAAGCAATCCCACCATCAACCCATACATAATTAAAAAGTTTTGTTAAAATTTCTCTTTCTTTTGTGCAGGTCTTGAGTATGGACCTTTCCCTCTATACTTGTGAGTATAGTGGGATACAGGTAAGAGAAAAGTAATGTAGGAAATAAACCTTATTTATTAGATATGGCTATTTATGATTACCCACTATGGAGAAGGAAGGTATTATTTCTCATGTGTTTACTTCACTCTTATTTGGCATTAGGATTTGTTTTTGTTATTAATAAAACCATTTATGGTGTTTTGATCTTAGAAAAACTCATTTTTTTCTGGATGATTTAGAAGTAACTCCTCTTTTGTCATTTTACCTGCAGAAAATATGAACCCACAATATGTTTAGTGGTTTTGCCTCGATAAACTATTTGTGTGTGTGTGTGTATCAGTATATACACATGCAGGGAATCACATTGTTTAGCTGTCCATGCAACAGATAAAAGTGCAAAATATATCTTGCATAGTTGAAGATATGTGGCTGACTAGGTAGGTTCATTCCTGTGCAGTACAAACAGAAGTGTCTAACAATGTAATAAACTGTTTTCCATAGCAAAACTACTCAGAAATCCACTAATTTTTGAAATGAAGACTTTTATAATTTTCAATAAGACTTTGTAAAAGTGCTTCTCAGCTGATTACCGCTGCTGTGAATAGACTGATCTGGATAGAAGTTGGCACACAGGAACATAAACTTTTAAATGCAGCATTGAGAAGTTATTGAACAATGGTAGTAAAATGTAAATATCAGGAAAAGCAACAAAATATGTTAGTTTGCAAACTAACCCTAACCCTAATTGCTCCTAATGTGATGGGTTATAAGATGTTTAGAAATATATATTAGAATTGTACAGCTGTAAATATAATCTAGGTATTTCTAGGTATTTCAAATATCAATTCCCCTTAGAAGGAAAGAGCAGTGATGACACAATTTGCATTCCTGAAATAAATATGGCCCACATTCAGGCAATGCTTAGCTATTTGAAATCACTGGGCTTAAATTGAGTTCTGGTCCAGAAACCTATACCTTGAAGCAAAACCCTCAATTTCTTCACTTTTGAGATGAATAAAAGATATACAGTACAATTCTTTTAGGATATTTAAATAATATGTCTATGATTTCCTTTTTTACAAAAAAAACTTACTCTTTAAACAAGAAGTCATGTTCATGTGATTTCATAAATACATCTTCAGGAGAATAGAAATTTCTGAAATTTAGCACACTAATTCCTCATATTCTCTAGTATATTTAACATTTAAAATATTGCAGCTTAGATTTCCTGGACTGAATTAATTTAAATGAACAGTCCAAGTAGCATTTAATACTTTATAACTTGACAATAGGAAATTAAAAGAAACAAGATTATAGAAAGAATAAACTATTTTATTGATTTAGGGTAGCTGGCATGCTTATACCTATGTATGTATGGTTGGAGTTAAAGAAATGAATTTAAGCAGATCTCTCTTATCCATGCAGTTTTATGACCAGGCCTGGGCTGCGAGGTCTGATGAGCAGCAGATGGCAGCAAGGATTTAATGTTTTTTAAATCTATAGGCTATTATATAGTACAATAGTTGTAATTTTTGTATCCAAGCTCTGATAATATACAATTTTTAAATGGTTTTCTTTATTCTTGCCATTGTAGGCATCGAGAAGCTGAGTATCACCTATCCTAGTATTAAACAACAAAAATTTGAATTAATTTGTCTAATATTAACCATTTCTCCATCTGAGACTAAGATTAGTTACAACTGTAAATTAACTCTTGTGAAGTTCTGTATCTGTAATAAGGATGACTGAGTTCTTAATCCCATGACAGAAGCACATTCAACTGAATGTAATGTGCTTCTACCTGGGTTACAATTGAGGAGGTGCACATGAAATGACTGAAATTAAAATTAAATTTAGCATGTTCTTATTTCATCAGCACAAAAAAATCCATATGAAGTCTGAGACAAATCCCAGCTGTAAGAAATGGGTATTTATTTAATTGGCTTCTCAAGGTTGCTAGTGTTGGAATTAAACTGGGATACGTTTATGAATATAAATGAGCTACAAAATTAACTCCAGCATGCAAACAAAACTTAAAACTGATTAACTATCTCTGCTTGACTTTTGGGGGATCCAGAACCCTACAGCTACCTTACTACAAACAGTATCAGTGGTTTATAGTTTCACAGCAGCACAAGGAAACAAGTCAGTTAATGTTTTTTAGATCTGTGTATGGATAAGCATATGCTTATTTAATAAACATAATTAATAAAGATGTTCAATTTGAATATTTGCTTTGATTGATTATAGTTCTGCTTTAGGTTCACTTTATTATGCTATATTAAACTTATCTACATTGACTTACATTGTTATGGCATTTCTAAATAAGTCACTGAATCAGCCCTACTGAGCTGCAGGGTACATTAGATAAACAAAACATTTTCAGTTAGCATGACTCTTTCTTGCTTTCCACCACTACACCAATGAGTCCTCACAGACTGTTTCAGTGTATTGTTATAGACTAGTAGTAAAGATGTTAGATAAGAACTTGGGGGAACCACAGAAGCAGATTTTAATGAATGGGTAGATCTTTAGTTCTCAATTTATCTCACAAAGTGATTGTGAAAAGTGAAGTTCTATGTACTAGTGCTATTTAGTACTTCAAATTCACTTCCCTAAAAATGCTTCTAGGGATGTGAAAATAATTAAAGGAGTTATATTTTTCCCTGGATCATATGACAGTTCCAGACAACAAGGTCCAAGAAAAAATGAAATTTCTTTAAAGAATTGCAGACAAGATGCTCAATTGACATTTCCATATGCGCCAAGCTACTTTTTTGGAACTGAATCAGAAATACTTTATGGCCCACCGATGTACACCATCTTGAGTTCATATAAAGGAAATACATAAAGGACCAAAACATTTTTTAAAAAAACAGTGGGATACTGATCTCAAAAAATACAAAATTTAAATGGCTAAAATATAATATTTGCATATTTAGCATAATACAGACGAACTGGCAATAGGTTCCAGTAAATAATAATTAAGAAACTTTCAAATCCTTACAATCAATGATTCTAAGACTGAACATATCTTTCTTAAAAATCTATTGTTAGCAACTAGCACATGAACACACAATAATTTTGTTTCTTGTATGTTTACTTTCAAAATAATTAATATCTTATGTATAAGAGAATAAAAAGTTTTATCTTACTTTGTTGAGTTTTTCTTTTGCGCCCATTTATTTTTCTGCAAAAGCTACAATCTGATAGTGTACCAGTAATAAATTTTAAAGACAATTTACCTGGTAATTTATTTAGTATCACTTTGATTTTTTCTTCTATGATGGTTCTATTTTCATATGTATATTATAGTTTCCATGTAACTATTCCCTTTTAGCTCATATTAAACATTACAGTTTGGCAGCAAATCTAATCTTTTAAATGTAATGCTAGGATAAGAACTTGTAAGAACAACTTACAAGTTGTTCTAATTTTCTAATTACCGTATTTACCGACGTATAAGATGACTGGGTGTATAAGACGACCCCTTACTTTTCCTATTAAAATATAGGGTTTGGGCTATACTCGCCGTATAAGACTACCTCTCTTCCAACGCACACCAAACTCTTTATTAACAAGAAGCTAACTTTTAATAAGGCACACAATTGACAACAGGTGGCCGACTGACAGCTGCTTAAATGGCAACCTGTCAGGCGGAGGAAAACCAATAGGAGAACTGTGTTTTTTCCTGCGAAGAGCCTGCTCGCGTCTTAGCCAATTAGAGTAGGGCGGCAACAGTGACAACTGTGGGTAGGACGTAACCCTGAGGACTTAACAGAACCAGTACAGATACCTACGAGCCAGGCTGCCCATCTGTCAAGGTAACTGGCCAGGTGTAGCGGCAAGAGGGCTATTTCCTACCAGGTTTTTTCTTGTCATCCTGTCCTGTCACCCATGTCCTGTCACCCATGCAGCCTTGACGAGATCGGCACAGCTTCCCCTCAATGTTGTTGGCACTCCCGTATCGTCATTGGTCAGCGCCGGCAACTCAGATTCGGGAAGCTGTGCCGATCTCATCAAGGCTGCATGCCACTGAATGCTGGACCCAGCTAGTTGCTGCGCAGAGCTTCCCCCACCATCCCAGGCATCCAGGTGGATATTACTGATGCTCCGATTTCCCCAGACATTGGGGGTCCCCAGTGATGGCGAGCCCCAGCTGTCTGGGGAAGTCAGAGCGTCGGTAATATCCACCTGGATGCCTGGGACAGTGGGGGAAGCTCCGTGCAGCAACCAGCTGGGTCCAGCATTCAGCGGCATGCAGCTTTGACGAGATCAGCACAGCTTCTCCTCAATGTTGTCGGCGCTCCCATAGCGTCATCGGTCAGCGCCGGCAACTCAGATTCGGGTTAGAAATCTCTAGCAATGACTAGAGATGATAGTAGCCGCTCTTACCACTTCTGTCAGTCTGTCAAGGTAGATATCGTAGGCTTATACCCAGCGAATAAGACGACCCCCGACTTTTGAGAAGATTTTCCTGTGTTAAAAAGTCATCTTATACGCTGGAAAATACGGTATCCTTTTGGATCCACAGGAATTCAGAATGAATCTGTGGAGACCTGAAAGCCCATTAATTGCAAGAATTCGAGTACTGTTGCATGAAAAAGCATAGTCCAGGCTATGACCACAAAACACTTTTAAGTCTACAGTGGTGGGTAGTCAAAGGGCTGAGAGGTTCCAAAGTGCAAAGAAAGGCTCAACAGTCCAGGTCCACTTGGGAACCTGCATT